GATGGAGGGTGAGGAGGGGCCGTGTCTGTGGGCGGAGATTTTGGTGGAGGGGGAGGAGGGGCCGTGTCTGTGGGGGGAGATTTTGATGGAGGGTGAGGAGGGGCCGTGTCTGTGGGGGGAGATTTTGGTGGAGGGGGAGGAGGTGCTGTGTCTGTGGGGTGAGATTTTGATGGAGGGGGAGGAGGGGCCGTGTCTGTGGGGGGAGATTTTGATGGAGGGTGAGGAGGGGCCGTGTCTGGGGGGGGAGATTTTGGTGGAGGGGGAGGAGGGGCCGTGTCTGTGGGGGGAGATTTTGATGAAGGGGGAGGAGGTGCTGTGTCTGTGGGGTGAGATTTTGGTGGAGGGGGAGGAGGGGCCGTGTCTGCGGGGTGAGATTTTGGTGGACGGTGAGGAGGGGTTGTGGCCACGGGGCCTGGTGCCCACAGTTAGTGGATCAGAGGATGGTGCCTGGTGCGTGGGTGCTAAGGATGCACCCTCTGCCCTCGAATTAGCACCCAAGGTTCTTTTGTCAGATGTGAGGCTTCCTTCCTGTGTTCTTTCTGGTTGAACTGGTACCCCGAAGACCAGCAGACCTGAGGTGTTCAGAGGTGGATGGATAATGGAGCCTGAATGGAAAGCCTGGGATATGAGTCAGGGCTTGGAATACCCTGGGACAGAGTTAGAGGTACCGGCAGACGTGAATGAATGGTGAAGACCGAGGGAGCAGGTCACACGTGGTGACGGACAGGAGAGGCTGCCCTGCCATCCAGGGGCCGTGGGGGGAGCCCCCATGGAGAGGCTTCTTTGGGCCATGTGGCTGCTGTTGAGGAGCCAGGGCCAGTTCTGTGCCCCGAGGGAGAGCGGTGCTGGCCTGGGGTCTCTGGGCCCGACTGCTGCTGGCACGGGACTCCCAAGGGGCAGTCAGGAGCAGGAGTGGCGGCAGAAAGCTCCCGCCCGCTCCCGCCATGTCTGGAAAGACATCGGCACATCTGTTTACTGTGTGTGCTACATGGTCACTCCCTCCTACACACTGCAGGTGACTTACTCAGGGCTCCTGATGGCAAACGACAAGCACCTAATTCAAACTAGCTTAAGCAAAATCGGGGCTCTGTGGGCCTGGCAAGCTGGGGATCAGAATAGCGGTTCAGGCATGGCTGGATCCAGCCATTGGTGATGGGTGTGGGATGATTCACCGTCAACTCTCAGCTCTGTTTAGCTGCAGACAGGCTGTTTCTAGATGCAGCCAGATGGCTACTGGCCATCTCAAGCCCCAGACACTGGGTTTCTTTCTCAGGAACTCTGGTGAGACCCCAGGGAGGACATGTACGGCTTGGCCCAAATCACATGCCCTGAGCCAGTTACTCTGCCTAGGGGCGGGGATATTCTAATTTATTATCCTCATCACATTCACCCAGGAAGAGGAGCAAGGAGGGACTGTGTACCCAGAAGCACTGGGCATGATTACTTTGACCTGAAGAGTGATTCTCAAAGAAAGGAAAGGAATGCTGGGTAGACAAAACATATGGCCATTGCATAAGGCCAGCAGAGCTCCCGATCTTTGCTTTGCTAAAGGTGGTAGGCGCACAGCTGTCTGGACTCTGGGGCTTAGTGTGAGGGTGTAGGGGCTGTAGAGGGTGCCGTCTACACAGCTGTCTGGACTCTGGGGCTCAGTGTGAGGGTGTAGAGTGTGTAGAGGGTGTTGTCTACATGGCTGTCTGGACTCTGGGGCTCAGTGTTTGTGTTTAGAGGGTGCCATCTACATGGGTGTCTGGACTTTGGAGCTCAGCGTGTGTGTGTAGAGTGTGTAGAGGGTGCCGTCTACACAGCTGTCTGGATCCTGGGGCTCAGTGTGAGCGTGTAGAGTGTGTAGAGGGTGCCATCTACACAGCTGTCTGGACTGTGTGGCTCAGTGTGAGAGTGCAGAGTGTGTAGAGGGTGCTGTCTACACAGCCATCTGGACTCTGGAGCTCAGCGTGTGTGTGTAGAGGGTGTTGAGGGTACCATCTACACAGCTGTCTGGACTTTGGGGCTCAGTGTGAGGGTGTAGAGTGTATATAGGGTGCCGTCTACACAGGTGTCTGGATTCTGGGGCTCAGTGTGAGGGTGTAGAGTGTGTAGACGGTTCCGTCTACATGGGTGTCTGGATTCTGCGGCTCAGTGTGAGGGTGTAGAGTGTGTAGAGGGTGCTGTCTACATGGCTGTCTGGACTCTGGAGCTCAGCATGTGTGTAGAGTGTGTTGAGGTGCCGTCTACACAGCTGTCTGGACTCTAGGGCTCAGTGTGAGTGGGTAGAGTATGTAGAGGGTGCCGTCTACACAGCTGTCTGGACTCTGGGGCTCAGTGTGAGGGTGTGGAGTGTGTAGAGGGTGCCGTCTACATAGCTGTTTGGACTCTGGGACTCAGTGTGAGGTTGTAGAGGGTGCCGTCTACACGGCTGTCTGGACTCCGGAGCTCAGTGTGAGGGTGTGGAGTGTGTAGAGGGTGCTGTCTACATGGCTGTCTGCACTCTGGAGCTCAGTGCGAGGGTGTAGAGTGTGTAGAGGGTGCCGCCTACACAGCTGTCTGGACTCTGGAGCTCAGTGTGAGGGTGTGGAGTGTGTAGAGGGTGCTGTCTACACAGCTGTCTGGACTCGGGCTCAGTGCGAGGGTGTAGAGCAGTCGTCCCCAAACTTTTTACACAGGGGGCCAGTTCACTGTCCCTCAGACCGTTGGAGGGCCGCCACATGCTGTGCTCCTCTCACTGACCACCAATGAAAGAGGTGCCCCTTCCTGAAGTGCCGCGGGGAGCCAGATAAATGGCCTCAGGGGGCTGCATGCGGCCCGCGGGCCGTAGTTTGGGGACGCCTGGTGTAGAGTGTGTAGAGGGTGCCGTCTGCATGGCTGTCTGGACTCTGGGGCTCTGCCGTCTGCACAGCACTGTGGCAGTCTCCTGCAGTTCTCAGCTGTACGGATGGCGAACACTCAGTCCTCTTCATACCTTGGTGACTGGTCCACCCTGGACCTTCCCACGGACATGGCCTTTCTGTGAAGTGACCTCTGGGCACAGGTGAAAGTAGCCTGTCGCCGCCATGCCTGCCCCAGGGACTGACCGAGATCAGCTCCCATCATGGACAGGGTCTCTCACATGCCTTTGGCCTCTGGACTGTGTGCACATATCTGGCTCTGAGGCCCACATTAGCCCCTGTCCTGCTGGGGCTCAAGTCTCTTTTCCAAATGCTTGACTTGGCTCAAGACTTGGCTTCAGCTGGTGTCCCCTGTGTTTGTGGACTTGGTCCTCCTGGCCTGTGGTCCTGCCAGGGGACGGGGAGAGTGGTCAGGAGGGACCCTGTGAAGGGCGACATCTCCCCTGTGTTGCTTCTCAGCATGGAGCACCTGAGCAGAACGAATGCTAGCTGATTTCCTGCACGCTGGGGTGTGTGGTGCTGCACACTCAGAGACGGCTTCTAGCACATTCCACGCTTTTCTCTTTTTTTCTTTTCTTTCTTTCTTTTTTTTTTTTTTAGACAGTCTCACTCTTTTGCGTGGGCTGGAGTATAATGGTGCAATATTGGCTCACTGCAACCTCCACCTCCCAGGTTCAGGCAAATGTCCTGCCTCAGCCTCCCAGATAGCTGAGACTGCAGACACCCATGGCCACGCCCTAGTCATTTTGGATTTTTGTTAGAGGCAGGTTTTGCCATGTTGGACAGGCTGGTCTCGAACTCCTGACCTCAAGTGATTGCCCGCCTCAGCCTCCCAAAGTTCTGGGGTTACAGGTGTGAGCCACTATGCCTGGCCTCCAAGGAATTTTATTTTTCTAATTTTAAGACAAGGTCTCACTCTGTTACCTCAGCTGCAGTATGGTGGCTAGATCATGACTTACAGCAGCCTCAGACTCCTGGGCTCAAGCCATCCTCCCACCTCAGCCTCCCGAATGGCTGGGGCTATAGATGTTTGCCACCACGCCTGGCTAATTTTTATATTTTTAGTAGAGATGGAGTTTCACCATGTTGGCCAGGCTGGTCTCAAACTCCTGGTGATCCACCTGCCTTGGCCTCCCAAGTAGGAGCTGAGGTTAGAGGCATGACACGCCCAGCCTCCTTCCACCCTTTCATATAACATATCAGCACTTCTCAACATTTTTACGGCAGGATCTTTTCTTCAAATCAAATCTTACCTGATAGATGAAGGGGACACAAGCTGAATCGCTCTGGGTTGGGTTGTAATAACCCACCTTGTTCCCAGCCCCTGCTTCCACCTGCACAGTTCTGAGGAGACACTGGGCACCCCTGGCTCCTTGGAAGCCAGTGTGAGAGCCTCTTGGTGATTATGCCATCTGTCTGCCTCTCTCTCATTCATTCTCTCTCTTTCTCTCTCTCTGTAGCACCTGCTGTTATGCCCCGTGGGAATAGGTTGCTGATGGCGGGTTTATTTATTTATTTATTTATTTATTTATTTATTGCATCTGAACACGTTTTTTTCCACCAGTAGCTTGTTTGCACTATGAGAAGGTCAGCGAGGAGCTCCTTGTCATCTTCCTTCTCTCTGCAGCAGATGTCAGGATGTGAGCACTCCCTGACACGTGAGGGTTGTTTCATTGCCCTTGCCCTCCGGAGGTGCCTCTTGGAAGCGGTTGGTTGATAGCATCGGTCATTATCTGTGCTTGACTTTGCCTTCCTCCTGAAGAGCCACACCCCAAAGGGCCCCCCCGCCGCTCCCGGCCGCTGGGGCTCCAGGAAGTTATGAGAGGCTGACGTCCCATGCACCACCCACCACTGACCGTAATGAATATTTTGGATACCTTTTCAGAAAATGTGCTCTTTCTAACCAAAAAATGCTTGACGTGACATCTGTAAAAGCAGCCAGACGAACATTCCCTAAGAGGGCTGCCCTCTAAGAGGAAGCGTCCTGAATCCCTCATTTTCAGGAGGCTGTGTCACTGGGGCCGTGGGGGCCTTGCCAGGCTCGCATCCACGAGGAGATTCCAGGCCTTGGTTTGGCTCCAGCTGGGCCGCCTGGTGGCTGCCACTTATTGACAAGTCCAGTGATTCAGATCCTCCGGGAACACCTGGGTCTCCTGACGCTGGCGCTGGGAGGAGGGTGGCCTCTGCAGGTGGAGCCTTCTCTGGGTGAAGCCCCTTGTTCCTGGTAGGTGTTTCTGGGCCTCCTGGCTCCAGGGATGTTGGAAGATGTCTCCTCGGTCTTCTCAGAGTCCGGGCAGTTCTGCAGGGGTTTTCCCAGAACTTTGCTCACTTCTGGGGAAAGGATTGGTCTGTCTGGGGAGTCTGGTTAATCGTTGACTGGAAACCAGCTTTTCCAGGCTGCGCTGGGTCCTGCAGCTTCCACTGGAGAGGCGCCGGGGTTGCAGGATGGCCACCGGCCTGTGGGTACTTCAGCTGCTGCTCTGCATGGTCCTTTCAAACACCCCAGTGGACGGAGATGGATTTGGGGGTCCAGGGCAGAGGAGCTGTGTGCTAGCAGCAGGTGGCCTGGGTCCTGCGGGGACGGGGAGCCCTGAGCAGATTGGAGCCTGCTGCTGGGGAGCCCTTTGTATTGTGGGTCATGCCGCGTGCAGGGGCTAAGGCTCTGCTCCCTCCCTGGGATCCCACATTTGGTGACAAGTCACCAGATAACCGTTAGACGGGGCCAAAAGCCCAAGGGCCACAAGGAAGGCAAAAATAAAGTGCCGAGGCTGTGCGTCTCAGAGTGGGTTGGGATTTGTGAGGACTTTGAAGGCTGCGTGGTCAGCCAACATGCTCAGGATGTCAGGGCTCCCTACACGCAGGGGCCGTGTCAGGACCCACCCCCTCGAGGAAGTGTACATTTACAAGCTGTGTACAGCTTTACCTCGTCGGGATGCAGACGAGCACTCAAACATGTTTTCCCGATTATTTATTTTCACGTATATTAGAGAGTAACTTTGTCTTTTTCAGTATTTATGGTATATGGGATGGTTTTTCTATTTATGGTGGAGACACAAAGTTTCTGTTAGAAGTAACTTTGTTCACGTAAAAGAGTAGGTTGATTGAAAGGGACATATTAAGTGAAGAGTCATCCGGGGGCCACATGGGGCTGGCAGGTGGCATGTGGATGTCTGAGTTTGGAAGTACCATGCTGGAGGAATTCAGAGATGAGAAAAATAAAAAGCTCATGGTAGAGTCAGGCAGGGTGTGGGAGGAGTGGGACCCCGCTGGGTGGAGGTAGGAGGGGAGTCTGTGCTTACAGGTCCAGAAGCGTGGGTACGATTCCTGGTGTGATCCACTCTGGTGTAGCTAGGGAGTCCTGTACGGAACAGAGGGTGAGTTCGGACTGTGTTGTGGAGGACCACCAGGTGTGGCCTCTGAACTTTTCAGGAGGCAGTGGGAGCTGTTGAGGATGGTTGAGGAGGGAAGTATTTCTGGCTAGTCCTTGACGAGTCTTGTTTATTTGTAGTGGCTACCAGGACTGGAGGCAGATGACCAGTCCAGGGCCCAAGTAAAGAGAGATTAAGAAGCCAAACTGGGGCTATAGTCAAGGACGAGCCCCTCAGTCCCCCAGGCCATCTCTCTCTAGCCTAGAGATGCTGGAGGGAGGCGGGCTGTAGGTATGTGAGCTGACCCTTTGCCCTCTGTGGGGAGGCCGTCGTGATGGGCAGGGGGGAAGGTCACAAGTTGTGCATGGAGTCCTGGAAGGGAGGGGTGTCTTCTCCCAGCTGCTGCAAGGAGGTGGTAAGAGCTACTTCCTGGAGTCTCATGGCCTAGCATGGAATGTTCTGGAATGTTCTCAGGGAAGTGGGTGTGGTCAGCTGAAGGAAGGTCCTCTCTGGGCCAGAGTTCTTGCAGGAGCAGGAGGAAGAAGGCTGCTGTTTCCTGCCCTGTGGTCTGGCCCAGATGGCCTTGGCTGACAGCCCCAAGCCAAGATTTCATTCATCATCAGGGTCTGCGGTTGGGGGTGGGGGGAAGGGGGGTACAGTTTTTTAAAACACTCAGTTCATTCTTTTAGTGTGGAGAAGTTCACCAGCATTCAGGGACCAGCTTGGTTTAAAAAACAGGTTTTGTTTTGTTTTTTAAGGGCATGCTATGTACCATATACTGTGTTTGGAACTTTTTTTTTTGAGATGGAATCTCACTCTGTCGCCCAGGCTGGAGTGTAGTGGTGCAATCTCGGCTCACTGCAACCTCCACTCCCGGGTTCAAGCAATTCTCCTGCCTCAGCCTCCCAAGTAGCTGGGACTACAGGCGTGTGCCACCATGCCCAGCTAATTTTTGTATTTGTAGTAGAGACGGGCTTTTACCATGTTGGCCAGGATGGTCTCAATCTCTTGACCTGGTGATCTGCCCGCCTCAGCCTCCCGAAGCACTGGGATTACAGGTGTGAGCCACCGCGCCCAGCCTGGAACTTTTACTCTGTTATCACAATTCACTATGGACAAAACCTGTTGAGGAATGCATTATTCATTACTTCTGTTATGCAGAGGAAGAAAGGAGTATAGGGAAATTGAACAAGCCCCAAATTATACCACTGCTCAGCTTTGGAGTCCAGTTGCAAACTTACGGCTCTGAAAGCAAGACTGTGTCTGTAGCAGTGAGACTGTGGACAGAACGTTGACCTTGGAGGAAGTATCTCCTTTCTGCTCCTCTGTGTGGGTGCATCTGAACATGGGGGTGCTTCTGGAACTCGATGGCATTGCAGTGGGGATTGGGACTTAGGATACAGATAAGGTGTCACAGACATGTCAGCTACTGCTGCTGTTACTACATAAAATTAGGGTTGCACAATCCTGGACTTGATTTTACTAGAAGACATTCTTGGAAGGATATCTCTTAGGGTGGAGGAGAAGCATTATTTTAATTCAGCTGAATTAATGAATTCGTTAATTTTTAACATTTAGTCTTGTTACGTTGCCCAGGTTGCTCTCAAACTCCTGGCCTCAAGCAATCCTCCCACCTCGGCCTCCCAAAGAGTTGGGATTAGATGCGTGGTCCACTGTGTCCAGTCACTTTAATTTTTAAGATAATCATTATATGGGGGGGATAGAATGTGAATTTAACCTTAGAGCCATTTTGAGTTTGGGCTGGTGATTTCTGCGCATACTCCTGGCCCGTGGATGTTGGGAGGTGTGGGTGAAATGCTGAAGGGCAGGGTCTGTTCACTTTCCTTTCTCAGCCTTACTTCAGTGAAAGCTGGAGGGGCACTTTGCGATATCTTTTAAAATTTTTATTTATTATACTTTAAGTTCTGGGGTATATGTGCAGAATGTGCAGGTTTGTTACATAGTTCTATACGTGCCCTGGTGGTTTGCTGCATCCATCACCCCATTATCCACATTAGGTATTTCTCCTAATGTTATCCCTCCCCTAGCTCCCCACCCCCTGCTGTCGCTCCCCACCCCCTGCTGTCCCTCCCCTAGCTGCCCACTCCCCGACAGGCCTCCGTGTGTGCTGTTCCCCTCCCTGTGTCCATGTAGAAGTTCTCATTGTTGAACACCCACTTATGAGTGAGACCATGCGGTATTTGGTTTTCTGTTCTTGTGACAGTTTGCTGATAATGCTGGTTTCCAGCTTTATCCATGTCCCAGCAAAGGACATGAACTCATCTTTTATTCAGGCTGCATAGTATTCCCTGGTGTATATATGCCACATTTTCTCTATGCACTCTATCGTTGATGGGCATTTGGGTTGGTTCCAAGTCTTTGCTATTGTGAACAGTGCCACAAATGAACATACATGTGCATGTGTCTTTATAATAGAATGATTTATAATTCTTTGGGTATATACCCAGTAATGGGATTACTGGGTCAAATGGTATTTCTGTTTCTAGATCTTTCAGGAATTGCCACACTATCTTCCACAATGGTCAAACTAATTTACACTCCCACCAACTGTGTAAAAGTGTTTCTATTTCTTCACATCCTCTCCAGCATCTGTTGTCTTCAGATTTTTTAATGATTGCCATTGTAGCTGGCGTGAGATGATATCTCAACGTGGTTTTGATTTGCATTTCTCTGATGACCAGTGATGATGAGTTTTTTTTCATATGTTTGTTGGCTGCATAAATGTCCTCTAGAGAAGTGTCTGTGCATATCCTTTGCCCACTTTTTGATGGAGTTTTTTTTCTTGTAAATTTGTTTAAGTTCTTTGTAGATTCTATATATTAGCCGTTTGTTAGACGAGTAAATTGCAAAATTTTTTTCTCATTCTGTTGGTTTCCAGTTCACTCTAATGATAGTTTGTTTTGCTGTGCAGAAGCTCTTTAGTTTAATTAGATCCCATTTGTCTATTTTGGCTTTTGTTGCCATTACTTTTAGTGTTTTAGTCATGAAGTCCTTGCCTATGCCTGTGTCCTAAATGCTACTGCCTAGGTTTTCTTCTTTGGCTTTAATGGTGTTAGGTCTTATGTTTAGGTCTTTAATGCATCTAGAGTTAATTTTCTTATAAGGTGTAAGGAAGGGATGTAGTTTCAGCTTTCTACATATAGCTAGTTTTCCCAGCGCCACTTATTAAATAGGGAATCCTTTCCCCATTGCTTGTTTTTGTCGTTTGCCAGAGATGAGATGGTTGTAGATGGGTGATGTTATTTCTGAGGCCTCTGTTCTGTTCCATTGGTCTATATCTGTGTTTTGGTACCAGTACCATGCTGTTTTGATTACTGTAGCTTTGTAGTATAGTTTGAAGTCAGGTTGCCTGATGCCTCCAGCTTTTTTTTTTTGCTTAGGATTGTCTTGGCTATTCGGGCTCTTGTTTGGTTCCGTATGAAGTTTAAGGTGTTTTTTTCCAATTCTGTGAAGAAACTCAGTGGTAGTTTGATGGGGATAGCATTGAATCTGTAAATTACTTTGGGAACTTTGCTATTTCTACAGCTTCAGAGTTCCCAGCTCTGCCCAAGTTGGTGCCAGTGGGCTGTGACCTTGGGGCAGTCACTAACCTGCCCAGGCCAGTTTCCCTCCTGCCGAGCTACCCTAGTTCTTGGAGTGAGCTTCCTCTTCCTTTCTGGTGCTTCTGGGAGGACAGTTCTCTCCCTGGAATGCTGCCACCTGCCTGCCAAGTCCCTCCTTTTCCACTGAAGCCCTACACCACATTCTCCTCTTGGAAGCTGTCCGGACTGATCTCCACTCGCCTTCTCTCCACTCCCAGTGCTCTTCGTATGGCCCTGGCGTTTATTGGGGCCAC